CTGGGTTAGGTTTGAGTTTTAGGACTGGGCTGTAGCTGCAGTGGGTTTGAGGTTAGGCCTGGGGTTGGCAGAAGTTGAGTTTAGCTTGGGATGGAGTTGATGTCTGGTTTGGACTGTGGATGGGGCTGGTGCAGCTGTGGGATGGTGTTCAGAGCTGGAGCTGCTGCCCAGGTCCAGGCGGGATAAGGGCTGAAAGGAGGGTTTGAGGTGGGTGCTGATGTGTATCCAGCCTGACTGGAAGCTGGTTTAGGAATGGCCTTGGGATTTGCTCTAGGGTTGGTTTGGAGGCTGTTGGAGGAATCGGGGCTGGGGTTCTGTTCCTTCCACTCCCCCAGCCCCGTTCCCTTTTGGACAGAAATCCTCCACCGAGCTTGCCCAGTGGGTCCTTCTCAGAGTCTTGACAGTAGCTCACAGGAGGGCAAGCAAAATGCCATCCTCTGACCTGGTGCTGCAGCCTGAGACACACAGACATGGTGGTTCTCAAGGGGCACTAGGCTGGCCCCCAGCCCCAGCTGGGATGGGGCATCTTTACAGCTCTGGCAGACTCATGAAAAGTAATGGGGCCTTGCCATTTACTGCCTTTTCACAAAGAAAATATATCAAGTGAGACATATTTTTCTTAGAGGCAACATAAATATTTATCAGTGTTGTGGCTTCCTGGGCCCCTGATTTATAGAGGACCTGGGCTATGGGGCAGGATTCCTCCCAGTGGCTGCTGAATCCCTGAACCCAAGTGTTAATGGGTAGAGTCAGGTTTCTACCCCTCAGGACTTGGCAGGAGGTGCTGATGTAGCCAAAAGCAGAGATGGGAACTTCTACCAACTGGGAAGAGGGGAAACCCACCATCAGGTCTTGGTTCCTACTTCTATATAAAAGTGTGGGGATTTGGAGCCAGGTGAACCTCAGTTTTAATCTCAGCTCTGGTACCTATAAATCAGTTACATCGCCTCCTTGATCCTCAGTTTCCACACCTCTAAAAGTGGGACAATTCCTCCTTAATAGAGCTGTTGAGAGGATTAGCTTATAGGTCTGGCTTAGAGGATTTATAGATTTGCTTAGAGGATTTGCTCAAGGTCTGGCTTATAGGAAACACACAGGAAAGGTTTGCTGGCTCTTCTTTCTCAGTAGAGGTTGAGAGATCGGGCTCTGGAAGTCAGACAGACCTGAGTTTACATCTTTGCTTTGTCACTCATAATCTGGGGGACCCTGAGCCTCAACTTTCTCATCTGTAAAATGGGCCAAATAAGAGTATCTCGTATCTCATAGGGATGCATCGGTCAGAGTGAATGGTTGCAAGCAACAGAACCTGACTCTGTCTCTGAAGAGTGCAAAAGGGAATTTAATGAAAGGATATCAGAAGCTCACAGAATCTATAGGAAACTGGAAGACCAGGCCTAGAAAGTAGATGGAAAGCAAGGAGTGATGGAGGAATAGGTCAAATAATGATTCATCAATCAAGGCAGTAGACTCTAGAGCAAGCAGGAGCAGCCCAGGGTGCCGGCTGCCACAGCCACAGTCATGGGCAGGACTGCAGAGGCCGCTGAGCCTCTGCATGCTCAATGTTCAAGGCCCAGTTGAGGTTCTATGCTTATCTCCTGCCCATTTCTTTGGTCTCTAGGGTTGGGATACCATGACCTCCCACCAGTCTATGTTCACTGAGGACGCCCCAGGAAAGACTGGCGTGCTCATGTAGAAGGGGTTTGGCACTCTTAACAAGGTCCATGACAGAGGTCTTTGAGAATGAAATAAGACCACCCTCATTGATGCCCCTGTGCCTGGCACCAAGCATAACTCCTCAAGTGGCAGCCATTAGCTGTCATGACAGCCTCCTCCAGTGCGAGCTGTGCCTGCAGTGGCCCCTGGACTAAAGGTGGCAGATACAGACAGAGTTGGAGATTGGCTCAGGAAGTGCCATCTGCTCATCAGGCAGTCTGACATGAGGGAAAGAGCACCAGACCAAGAGTCTGGCCCTACTTCTTGTCCCATCTCCGCCACTAATTAGCAATGCCAGCCTGACAGGCCCTCCCTCCTCTCTGAGATTCCAGTTTCTCTGCTGGGAAACAGCATCAGTGCTACCTTCCCTCACTCTGTCACCAGAAGGCTGGGAAGTGCATATTTAATAACACATAGGCCAGGTGCAGTGGCCCACACCTATAATCCTAGCACTTTGGGAGGCCGAGGCAGGGGGATCACTTGAGCCAGGAGTTTGAGACCTACCTGGGCAACATGGCGAAGCCTCATCTTCAAAAAATACAGAAAACTAGCTGGGCGTGGTGGTGCAGTCCTATAGTCCCAGCTACTCAGGAGGCTGAGGCGGGAGGATCACCTGAGCATAGCAGGTCAAGGCTGCAATGAGCCATGATTGTGCCACTGCACCCTAGCCTTGGTGACAGAGTGATGCCCAGTCTCAAATAATAATAATAATAACAACACATAGAAATATTATTTTTTATATTTTTAATGTTTTTAATAACTTTAAAATCTTTCCAAAATATTTTATATTCCATGAAGTTCACCCTTTTAAAGTACACAATCCCGTGATTTTTATTCACAACGTTGTGCAACCATCACTACTAATTCCAGAACATTTCATCATCTCCAAAAGAATCCTGTATCCTTTAGCAATCATCCTTCATTCTTTCCTCCCCTCAGCCCCTGGCAACCACTAATCTCCTTTCTGTCTCTATGGATTTGCCTGTTCTGACAAATGGAATCATGCAATGCGTGGTCTTTTGTGTCTGGTTTTTTTCACTTAGCATAGTGTTTGCAAGGTTCAGCCATATTGAGGCATGTGTCAGTGCCTCATTCCTTTTCACAGCTGTGTACTATTTTGTTGCATGGATATGCCACAGTTGGTTTACCCATTCATGTAGGATTCTTTTTAGTTGACACAGGGCCAGGGCCGGGGCTTCAGGTATTCTTACAGAGGGAGAGGCTAGAGCAGAACCAAGAGGAAGGGCTGCATCTAAACAGGGGATGTGTGTGCAGCCTGAATGAGTCTGTCTCTGGCTCTGCTTACTCTCAAAGTGCCTGAGGGCATTTCAGAGAGCTCCTGGATTCTGAGAATCGGAAATTATTGCTACCTAGACTCTGAGCTTTCCATCACCTCTGCCTCAAACCCAAGGTGACTATGGGCATGGGGCCTTCCTGGGGGTTGGAGTCAGTGGACAGAGTTGAGCTAGGCACATAGAAGTGATTAATAAATACATGGATGGATAAATGGATGGATTGAATAGATGGATGATTGCATGGAGGGATGCAAAGGTTCATGTGGAAAAATGGATGGACGGACGGACGGATGGATGGATGGATGGATGGATGGATAGATGGATGAATGAATGGATGGGTGGATGAATGGATGGGCAGGTGGGTGGGTGGATGGATAGACAGAATGTATAAATGGAAGACTGGATGAATAAACTGGCATGCGGAGCTGGCACTACATTCTTGCCAAGGCCTACTTAGTTTGTTTGTTCTGAGACAGTGTCTTGCTCTGTCACCTAGGCTGGAGTGCAGTGGTGCAAACACGGCTCACTGCAGCCTCTAAGTCCTGGGTTCAAGCAATCCTCCTGCCTCAGCCTACCATGTAGCTGAGACCACAGACATGCACACCATGCACCACCATGCCTGGCTAATTTTTTTTTTTTTTGGTAGAGATAGGGTCTCTCCATGTTGACTAGGCTGGTCTCAAACTCCTGGACTCAAGTGATCCTCCCATCTCGGCATCCCAAAGAGCTGGGATTACAGGCATTAGCCATCGCACCTGGCCTGCCAAAGCCCACTTTATGCATGGGAGAAAGATACATTTTTTACCTAGAGAGAAATTCTAGCACAAGGCATCCTTGAGTCAAAAGACCTACCATTTAGGTACTAACTCTTAAACAGGTGTAGGGAGGATCAAATCTTAAATCTTTAGAGTTGCAAATCAAATGATCTAGCTGTGTTTGGCACACTGAAGGTGCTTACTACATAGTTGGAAGCGAACGGATGGACGAATGAATGGTTTGAACAAATGAACAAACCTACTTCCCACCCAACTGGTGAATTAGGAAAGTGACACCCATTTTAGAAATGAGGAGGGTGGCACCTAAAGTCACCCGCCGATCAGGGTCAGGCTGTGGCGTGGAATCCAGACCAACTGGAAGTCCAGCATTCTTTTCCCCATACCAGGCAGTTTCCCGGTTCCTGATCTCAGTGGGGACATCTCATGTCAACCAGACAAGTCACCTCCAGGCCTTGGATTTTGTGTTCTTCTACCTAGGACAAGGAGGTCACTGAACTGACCACATGTCTATTTGATGATTGTTTGAGACTGGGGTGTGTGTATGTGTCTTGGAATGAGAGAGAAAAAGAGAGAGAGAGAAAAAAAGAGACACACAGGGAGAGAGAGAGAGGAGACAGAGAGAGAGAGAGAGAGAGAGAGAGGGAGAGAGAGAGAGAGAGAATGCGTACATTCTCACGAATGGAAAGGCAAATACATCTTGTCAGCAGCTTTCACCTTCCCGTGGTGCAGCTGTAACATGTCAGGTGTATTGGGGCACCCGAGATAAGCTGGTTTTGACACGCTGCAGATGCCTTCCTACCTCCCAGGGAGGCTGTGACCACCCCATGTGACAGAGACAATGACATTCAACATCTGGGTAGCGGCTTATGTGAGGTCATGACTCAGTGCCTGGCACATGGCAAGTACCCAGTGAATGGTGGCTGCTTTCATTCATGAATAGCAATCTCCCCGGCCCAGACCTTCTTACCAGGCTCATACTTTCCAGCACACTGAACTGGGATCAGGAGGTCTAATTCTACTCCCAGCTCTGACATGCACTTTCTGGGGGACCCTGGATGTCTAACCTCCCTGGGCCTCCATCTCCTCATCTGTAGAATGGAGAAAAGCATACTCTCCTCACAGGGCTGCTGGGAAAACAACCAGAGAGACAGGCTATGGGGGCACTTTGCATGCTATAGACAAGGGGCAGTAAACTACCAGGGGCCAAATCCAGTGCGCCACTTTGCAAATAAAGTTTTATTGGAATGCACCCACCCTCATCCATGTACGTATTGTCTGTGGTTGCTTTCAAATGACAGTAACAGAGCCAAATAGTTGCAACAGAGACTAAAGGTCTGCAGAGTCTAAAATATTTACTATCTAGTCCTTTAAAGAAGAATTTAGCTGCTCCTGCTATTGAGCGATTATTCCCAGGTGTTAGCAGCTTTCCTCCTTCCTCTTCCCTGGGAGATGCTCACTCTCAGGCCCTCCCAAAGGCTGGTGTAAAGCCTGGGTATCTCCTCTTTGACAAGGTTTCCTGGTGACTCTGATGAAGAAAGGCCCCTGGTCCAGACTGCAAAACACACCAGGGTAGTGGAATCAGACAGACCCGAGATCAAATCCCTGTTCACTGCTTCCCACCTGTGTGACTGCAGACAAGTTGCTTAACCTCTCTGAGCCTCAATGCACTTATCTACAAAATGGGGACAACAATGCCTATCCCTTAGAGTTCCTGGGAAAATTAAATGAGACAATGTCTATAAAGGGCTCAGTCAGGCCTGATGCAGGATGGGTGCCTGGTAATTGACGTTTTTTGTTTTTTTTTCCTGCATCCCTAAACTAATTCAGTCCCTGGGTATGCTGCATCTTCCCAGTTCTTCCAGAACCCTCCTAGCTTCTCCCTTTCTGCCCCACTGTGGCCTCTCAGGTGGACTCTGCCCCCCGTCTTTGTTGAGGGTCCTTCTTCCCCAGCAGAGAGAGGTGCATTTGCTGAGAGGCAGCGCTGGGGAGCTGGTCTGATACAGCCTGGAGTTCTCGGCCCATTTCTGACACTGAAACACCGGCTCCGTGTTTACACAAGGACTCTCAAAATATTTGCTTTCCGTGGCCATTATTTGTCCAGGGGCTGACGTCAGATGAAGACAAGCAACTCCCCACTAGCGCTTTCAAAGCACAAGGTCAGCACCTCCCTGTCCCCACTTCACTGTCCCATCCCCTGGCTCCTTGTCTGAGTTTTCTAAACTAACCACACTCCAGGCTTTGGGTGACTTAGCAAATGAGTTGGCGTGGGACCAGCAGAAAGGCAGATTCTGGTCCCAGCCTGTCGCTAACTAGCTGGGCGACCTTGGAGGGTCTGGTCCTCTCCCTGGGCCTCAGTTGCCTCCTCTGTGCCCTGGGAGGGTCGCTTCCAGCGCCACAATTCCATGACTCTGGAACTTCAAGAACCCCCCAGGCTGGGAGACTCCAGCACCCGCTGTCACTCTCCTTCCCACCCCTCCACCCTTCTCAAGCTGCCTGAGAGTGGGAGGAAAGCGAACAGAAATTGTGAAAACAAAGCCACACTTCGACTTAGCTACAACCCTGCCGACAGCACAATCTTTCATCAAGAGAGAAAATAAGAAGTGAAAAAAGCTATAAGCCTTCAACTGGGCATTTTAACATGGAGGTATGTCCTCCACCAGAGCAAATACCCTGCACCCTGACCAGCGTGGGGAGCCTGTGAATGGACATAAGTCCAGCTTCTTCCACCCATCTGCCACTCATATGAGAAGGTTGCCGGGCGCCATGGCTCACGCCTGTAATCCTAGCACTTTAGGGGGCCAAGGGGGCCAGATCACCTCAGAGAGGTCAGGAGTTCGAGACCAGCCTGGCCAACATGATGAAACCCCATCTCTACTAAAAATACAAAAATTAACTGGGTGTGGTGGTGCGCGCCTGCAATCCCAGCTACTGGGAAGGCTGAGGCAGGAGAATCACTTGAACTCGGGAGGTAGAGGTTGCAGCGAGCCGAGCCGCTGCACTCTAGCCTGGGCGACAGAATGAGACTCCATCTCAAAAAAAAAAAAAAAAAAAAGAAAGAGGTCAAGTTGCAGGTAAAGCCACCTATGTCACAGGGTCAGCTCTGCTTCCCAGGGAGGAAGAATCATACATAAGTCCAAGGGGAGAAAAAAAAAAATGACAAAACCAATCCTGGGAGTTACTGACTCCATTGAAATGTGTATCCATACCAAAGACATATGGGTCCACACCTCCCAAGGACTAAATAAAGGACACTCATCTGAAACTTCAGCCCGAGGGACTTCAGTAGGTCACATCAAACTCTTTCCTGACTTGGTTGGCCAGTGTGGGGCAGTCCAGTGGTTTAAGCAAGTCTTCGGAGCCGAACAGACCTGGGTCTGAATTCCAGTAAGGCCACCCAGTGGCTGGGTGACCCGGGGGAGCCATGGTGCCTCTCTGAGCCCGGGTTTTCCCAGCTGTGAAATGGAGATGATAATAATTCATACCTTGTGGTGCTGCTGTGAGAATGTAAGAAGCAGTTCAGCGCTTATGCCAGTTGGAAGGTCATATGGGGCCCTTGCCAAATGATCTTCTCCTTGGGTTACTGGATGATTCTTCAAGGGTGATAATCATTGAGACCTACTCCGGCGGGTCAGGCACAGTGGCTCATGCCCGTCATCCCAGCACTTTGGGAGGCTGAGGCAGGCAGATCATTTGGGGTCAGGAGTTCGAGACCAGCCTGGTCAACATGGTGAAACCCTGTCTGTACTAAAAATATAAAAATTAGCGGGGGGGGGGGGGGGGGGGTAGCTCACGCCTGTAATTCCAGCATTTTTTGAGGCCTAGGGAGGTAGATCATTTGAGTTTAGGAGTTTGAGACCAGCTTGGCCCAACATGGTGAAACTCCATCACTACTAAAAATACAAAAATTAGCTGGGCGTGGTGGTGTGCACCTGTAATCCCAGCTACTCGGCAAGGCTGAGGCAGGAGAATTGCCTGAACCCAGGAGGCGGAGGTTGCAGTGAGCTAAGATTGCACCACTGCACACTCCAGCCTGGGCAGCAAAGCAAGACTCTGTCAAAATCAATCAATCAATCAATCAATCAATCAATCAATCCCACTCTGGCATGGAGAACATCTGAGTTCTTTGAAGCACTCACAAGTGCATTCTCATTTGTAGCACTTCTCACAACAGTGACATAAGGTGGATATCACTCTCCACAGTCTATAGATGCAAAAACTGAGGATGGAAGAGACAAAGCCATTTGTCCAGAGCTCACCACAAGCTCTCGCCCTGAAGCCCAGGCCTTCGACTCCCAGTCATTGCTCTGGCACCTCTTTCCACAGGCTAAGATCCTACTGGCTCCATGGGGCCTCAGTGGGTCCAGCTGTGTCCAGAGGCCTCCCAGACACTGGCTCCAGGCCTCTCAATTTCTCTCCAGCCTCAAGAGGAGGTTCAGACATCAGGGGGGAGCTCAGCCAGAAGTGTGAGGAGACAGCGCCCTCCGGTGGCCTCTGCGCAGCAGCGAGAGAAGCCGAAGGAGGGGGTGGGGCATTTTGATGTCACAAGGGCTGCAGCCCAGAGGAGAGGGACAGAGATCAGGGGCACATTAGACTCCTGTCCTCACCGGTCCAGCTCCTTGATACCTCCAATACTCCTTCTGACCCAGGACTCTTAGAATCACATCATTCCAATCTGGAAAGAAACTGAAACGCCATCTAAATGAACGTTCTCTGCACACAGATTATTGAATCCAGGGTGGAGACAGATCATCCAAGGTCACGTGAGGAATCAGGGTGGAATGCAGTCAGAGCTCAGGTCCCCTACCTGCCCCTTCAGGCCCAGCAGGAAGTTCGGGGAGGTTGGATTCACCAGCCCTGCACCTCCCCGCTCCCCATTTTTCTCCTCTGCCTTCAGGGCTGCCAGGCACACTAGGTAGAGTGAGAGGGGCTGAGGCAGAAGAGTGATGGTAATGGGCTCTCCAACTCTTGATGGCTGTGTGACCTTGTGCAGGTTACTTAACCTCTCTGTGCCCCAGTTTCCCCCTCTGTGAAATGATATTGAATCCTCAATGCCACAGGACTAAATAATGCATAAATTTAAAAAGGCCTGGTACATAGTAAGCAACCCCTAAATGTGGTAGCCCCTGTTACTGCTTTTATTACTATTCGTTTGGTGCCTCTAATTAATTGGTTCGCTTCTGAGGGGCCACAAGCTCTCCCACGCACCTTTCTCCCCTCCCCTTCTCTCACTTCATTTCTTCTCACCAAACCCCAAAGTGGCAAATTAATCCCTAGTACCTGTATCTCTTGTCTGTCACATTCGGGGCTCTGCAAGATGGTGTGGCCTGGCCGGGGACTGGGGAGTCAGTGCCACACACATAGCCCCTCTGTGGGTCAGCCTGCCACTCTGGCCCAAGATAAGCTTAGCTAAGGCTGAGTCTCAGAGAATGGCTGAAACCCCAGAGGGTTTTTCTGGGGCCAAGAGCAGACCAGGTTGAAGGGCGTGGTCAGTACCTTCCTGGGATGATTCCAAGGGCCCAGCTCTAACAGCTGAACATCACCAGGCTCGAGTTTCAGGATGGGAACCTTGAAAACCCCTCCGCGATTTTCCTTTTCACACCAGTCTTGGGGCCAGGCAGATGTGGGTTCAAATCCTTGCTCTGCCACTCGTGAGTTCTGTGATCTTGGGAAGAGACTGAATGTCTCTGGACCTCAGTTTCCTCGTCTGTAAAGTGGGAGTGGTTAAAGGAGTGTATGGAACTGTTGGGTTTGGATTAAGGTGCCCAGCCCACTGCCTGGAATGCAGCACTCTGACTAGCTTATTGAACATCAAAATTAATTTACCACCTTTTCCCCCAGAATCCTGTTCTTCTTCTGGAATTCCCTGTCCTGGTGGGTGTCTATAATACTTACATCTAGGATGTCTATAATACTTACACATCCAAGGAGGGGTGGCCCATGTTCTCATACTTTCTATCAACTGTGTCATAGCTGTCTTGCATGGAGGTGAATCCATCACAGCTGCCTTGCATGGCCATTCCTCTCCATCTACTTTGGCCATGGCTCTTCTTCCAGGACAAGGTTATGGCAAATCCTTCATCACTGGTTTCCTCCTTCCAGCCTCCTTACTCCTGCTGGGGTGGTTACATCAGCCCCTCTCCACACCTCACTCTGAAACACATGTTCAGAGCACAAAGTCCAAACTGCTCAACAAAGCCAGGGCACCGAGGCCCCCCATGATCTGGGCCCCTCACTCCCACCTCCCCAGCATCATCTGCTCCCATCCTGCCTCCCACACAAACCAACCCTCCCTCCCAAACTCCCAGTGTTCCCTGAAGATGAGGCTCCCTGCTGCTCTGTGCCTCTAAGCCTCTGCCCTCTGGCCCAACCACCCAGAATGCCCCTCTCTGACACCTCCTCTGCAAGCCCTCTGTGACTGCCCCCACCTCCCCAGTTCTTCTCACGTGGAGCCAAGCACTCTCTCCTTCAGGCCCCATCGACCTCTCTCAGACCCCCACGATGGCCCTTCCTACCTGTCTGCGGCAGGTTTACCTGACTAGGCAATCCAGGAGGGAGGCGAGAGCACTGGTTGAGAGCAATGCCTGTGGGGTCCTGTCTCCTGGGATTTACTGAGAGAACGTGTGGAGTCCTAGCACTGTGTCTGCTGCATATAGATGCTCAGTAAATGAAAGTGATTCTTTTTATTGCTATCTCCCCATGAGACTGCAAATTCCTAGAGCAAGACTCATGTCTTAATTATCTCTGCATCCCCAGCAACTAGCCCTGTGATCTGGCCCACAGTAGAAGTTTAACAGATGTTTTCACATGGATGAATGGATGGATGGATATATGGACGGATGGATGGATAAATAGATGGATGGTGTGGCTGAAAGAGGAGGAAGAAATATGTAAGAGCTGCATTCAGCTGGTAACTAGGCAGTGACAGAAACGTGCACGGCACTTTACAAAGCAACGTCAGCCAAGCCCAACCACGGAGACTGATTCTATTTTTATCGCTGTTTCATGGAGGGGAGGAACTGGCTCAGGGAGGTGAAGACACCTGCCAGAGTTCCATAGTGATGACATTGGTGACAGCCGATATTCAAAGTCACTTCTGTCTGGTTACAAACCCCATGCAATTTCCATTTATCCACGCTGCTTCCTAAAAGGAAGCAGGTGGAATAGCAGCCGCATCTGAAGGAAATATGAACTAGAATTTATGTCGAGATTGCTAAAGTTCCAGCCTGGCCAACACGATGAAATCCTGTCTCTATTAGAAATACAAAAATTAGCTGGGAATGATGGCGCTGCCTGTAATCTCAGGTACTCGAGAAGCTGAGGCAGGAAAATTGCTTGCACCAGGGAAGCAGATGTTGCAGTGAGCCGAGATCTCACTATTGCACTCCAGCCTGAGGGACAGAGCGAGACTTTGTCTCAAAAAAAAAAAAAAAAAAAAAAAAAAAAAAAGATTGCTAAAGTTACCAGCAGGTGCTTCACACTAAAGAGATGAGGAAACTGAGGCCCAAGGAATTTGGGGAAGGGCGGGTAGATCCAGAGCCCTTTACTGCTGCCTGAGCCATTCTGGTTCCCAAATGCTGGAAGTATCTACAGCACAGAAGGGCTGGCCTGGAGGTAGGGTTCTGGGTCTAAAAGTTAGAGGCAAACAGTGGAGGGAGGAAGGTATTGGTGTCTCTGGGTCATTGGTCAGAGCTGGGGTCTTAGGTGCCCAGGAAGTATCACTGTTATGACTGTTATGAATGATAAACTGCATTATTAGAGATGCTATGTAACCATAAACTATAACATTACTTATGTTGTTAGGGCACTTCAGGGTGTCCAGAGCACTTTTGCATGTACCACCAATTTTCCCCCACAATTCCTTCAAAACGTGCAAAAAGCGGGGGATTATCACAATCTTACAAAGCAAGTGGCTGCAGAGGAGTCACGTGGATTCCCCCAAGGGCATAAACTTGGCAAATAGTTTCCCTAGTTTCAACATAAACGTTTCTGATTCCTGGTTCGGTGCTGTTTCTCACATACCTGCAGCTTTCCCGAGCCCCTGGTGTGTTACAGTTGCTGTTTAGTAAGCCGATGTGAGCATCGATGGAAAGCAAGAGAAAACAGAGATGGGTGGGAAAGAGGAAGCTGAACAACGGCTGGGAAATGGGGAAGGAAGCTCTGGGGAGCCCAGCAAGGGGACTGGCAATCCAGGCTTCTTTGGGCCCCTCCTCAGGTCCCAGTCTTTGCTGGAGCCACACATACAGCTGGCAGCCTGATGCTGGCACGAGATGGCGCCCTTGGATGGGGAAAGGACTGGAGTGAGCCTGGACAGGCTGGTGATTAGCTGTGAGCACTGCTGACTGGGCTGTCTGCAGTTTCCACACTACCCCTGGGCAGTGGGAACATCAGCTTCTGCTTCAAAAAGGCCCTTTCAAGACTCCTCTACTGAAATCCTAGACCTGTTCACTCAAATGCACAGCTGCAGGATGAATCAGGGGTGTTCACAGTTATCCCCAGCCAGGTGAGTCCAAACAGGTGGATACAGAATTTTTTTTTAGACGGTGTATCGCTCTGTCACCAGGCTGGAGTGCAGTGGCGAGATCTTGGCTCATTGCAACCTCCGCTTCCCAGGTTCAAGCACCTGCCTCAGCCTCCCAAGTAGCTGGGACTACAAGCGTGCGCCACCGCACCCAGCTAATTTTTGTATTTTTAGA